ACTCTCCTGACTTTTTTTCAGGGAAAAGAAGAAGCTGATCTTCACAATACTATACTTATATTCAAAAAAATCCATATCGCCAACATTCCTTATTCCAGATGGTATTTTATCAGCTGGAACATCACAAGGAATAAGAATTAGGTCACACTGACTGTGCTGACCTCTGTTTGAAGCGGTCTAACTATCTTAGGCATGTTGTAACAAATGTCAGCGTCTCCAGCTTTGGCTTAACTCCTGATGGAAGAGTACTTAGTAATAGAGACAAATTTTTCACTATTGCAATGATCTCTAGACACATGCCCTTAAGCATTTGTCTCCTTTTCCTTCCACGCCTCAGTGCCTGTGCAGTCAACCGCAAGAGACTGCAGCCATCAGCTGGTGAAAGCGAGCAACTGCATCTGACAATTTCAGCAATGCAAGTTATGTCCTTACTGTCTCAGCTGAAGAGTAAAATAATGCTTTGGATTCAGAAATGAAGGCTCGAGCTACTTCAAAAATCCATTACAGGGCAACAGGAGGAATGAAGAATTATCAGGGGACAGGAAATCACTTGCCTGCTGTTAACATCTCCTTGCAGCTGTATGCAACTTTTCTAACCTCTGACATGGTTTTCTTAATTTCACAACATCCTATTTAATGTTGTTTAGTGAGATAAAAAGCCATAAATTCACGTTCCCACCATCCTGTGGCCAAGTTTCATGTGGGTGAAAAAAAGCTTTTATCACTCCTCCCAAGTTTTCAAGCTTCATTTGAGCCATCCTAACTGATTCTGCTGGATCTTCCTTTGGTTACGACAGAATAGCAATGTTATTACCTTATGCACCAATTGCCATCACAAGTGGAGCAGAGCAAGGGGCCCTAGAGATCCTCCCAAATCAGCAGTTTTACCTCCACAACTGCCAGTGCTCAGCATAGTCTCTTTTGCTATACTGACTTCCATTCTACATAATGCCCCGGTGAGTGCTGTTTCTCATAGGACTATATGAGAGAGGAATATGGCCATCTTCTCAGCCTAAAGCTTTTTCAGCAAAGAATGTAGCACCCCTCTTTTTTCTCCTACCCTTCCCATTTCACTTGCCAAAGCTAACTTCATTCTAGTGACCATCCCAAACAGACATAGTGTTTACCCCCAAGATCCGGCTCAGTCAAGACAATTCACCTACCTTTAGGAGGCGCTGGCTGGATGTTAACAACTGGCTGATGCTTTGGCAGTGGCACAAGCGTGGGAAGAGTCTGAATAATGATGGTTTTAGCTGGGATGCCAATGTTAGCCTGAGCTTCAGGTACAGCAGGCAAAAGAGGTTTGGGTTGTATCAAAGGCCTGGACACTGTCTGACCACACCTCTTCAGGGTCCTTGCAGAATTATTTGCTAGGAAAGGAAAAAGAGTCAGAGTTGGACCAGAAGATAAAGAATTCAAGCAGTAATAACACGGAGTTTGGTATGGGGTTTTTTTACCCATCTATAATATTTGTTAAAAACAAACATATCTGATCACAAATTCAAGTCAGAAATGAGAGGATATACTAGTGTCTGTTAGTTAAACATTCATATGCAAGACGCATACTATCTGCAGAATCAAAGTAACTCAATCTCTCGTACCAGACCGAGAAGTGATGCTGACAGCAGGCTTCTTCCCTCCATCTCCTTCAGGGGATGCAGGACTTCTGCAACTCTTGCTGTAGAGAGAGATGGGAGACATCTGGGAGCTACAGCTGAAGTCCACATCATCCTGCAGACAGAAAGTACATGAGATTAATGCTTCAGAAACACATAAAAGTGTCTACTAGCAGTTCAGAGTATAACTGCCTTTCATCACATCTGCGTTGCTGCTGCAGCAAACAGGAAAAAGGTTTTGTTCCACAGTTTTATTCTGGTCAATGCTAAGTACCACAGAAAACCAAACAAGTACTTCTCCCTATCAGCAGAGCGACAGGAGGCAGAGGCCAGCAACTGCTAGACTCAGAAGCCTTTAAAAGGCGTTTTTTTTGCAACCAGGCTAATAAACACAGCTGAGGAAACAGAACGGAACATGCTCTTTTTAGAATGGGTCACAGCGGGGGAGGAAAAAAAACATCACTGAAGGGAAGTTGTTTTTGCAAGGGTTCGAAAAATAAGCTGTTTCCTCTTATGCCATGAAGTTGGTCAGAGAAGTAAATCACTGGGCATTTTGTTTGTCACAGCTGGTTCTGAATGACTGCTGCTATCTGTGTTACACAGAGGTTTCTGCATACAGGCACATTCTGCACTGGAGAGTCCACAGACGATGGAGAAGGGACTGAACAATTTGAAGTGGCTGGTGATAAGGGTTCTGTCTTCACGCTTGCATCTGCAAGAGGCAGATAAAAAAAATTTACCATACAAGTTTTTAGCAACAGGAGATCAGCAAAGAACACACTGCCCTACACCAGCTATTTAATTCCTGAAGCAAGGCACAGCAGAAAACATAGTGAGATTAAAGATACTATACAGCTTAGCTTGTAGGGCAGTCCACACCAGCTGTACCCATGCTACAGAAACACAGCACGACTTCTCATCGCAGACTTAAATGCTGCAGGGCATCAAATAGTTTTAAGTAAGTTACCACTATCCTTAAGTTGTAACAGCTCACCCTTTGGGGAGGGGGGGAGGGGGGACTGGAGGAGGAATAGTCACACCTGCAAAATACTGAAGGTTAATTACCTGTATAAGCATGGCCTGTAATATTCCAAAGGTCGGAGTCCCAAGACATCAAATCCAAATCAAAATGAAAGTTATAGAGATCATTTTCCTGAAATGACAGTTCAGAAAAAGAAACAATACAATATACATTGAAACCACCAGCCATTATGTTCACGTTCTTATGGCTCTGGAAAACAAAACAAAACAACACAACTATCACTTCAGTTGCCTTAAGACACACAGAAATAAAAGCCCCTAAGGGGACAATTCTCAACTGGAATACACAAGACAAGGCTTCTTTTAAAGCTTAGACCTGTAGGAAAGGCGTATGGCAGTTTAAGACCATCACTAATTATTGTACCATTATCAGTAATTTGTAAAGCAAGAGTTTTAAGTCCAGTCATTGAACCATCTCATATAAAGCACAAGTTGTAGCAACTTGTTGCCATCCCCCCCCATCTGCACTGAAATATTTACTTAATGCCTTTCCATCACCACATCTCAAAGCACTTTATAAACAAAAGCAGCATCAGCGGCAGTTTACCAGCAGGAAAAGAGACACGAGGACTGATTTGCTGAGTACGTATTAGCTCTCCCTATACTTGAATAAAGTGACACCATCATCTTCTAAAGCCAGGCACACCAGTTTCCTTCTCCAACAGGGAAAAAAAAAAAAAAAAGACTAAAATCACTTCATAGATATTATTTATTATAAGACCTTTAAAACAATGATCAGGTTTTTTGCTCCATTTTTTCTGATGATAAATCTGTCAGTCTCAGTTCCCTACTCAAATGTGGCACTTTTATAAGCACTTGCATGAAAAATATAAATATCACATACCCAACTTAGAAAAAATACAGACCAAAAATTTTCTTGCTAAAAAACTATCCTGCAAATGTACCTTTCCTTACATTCTCAACCTGCCTCATAAAGGGAGGCTCGGAAAGTCAGCAGACTGCATAGACGTTAATATTTGCAGACTAGGATGAAGAGAAAGCTCATCAGAGTACACTTATAGGAAGAATGACAAAAAACCACAGCCTGAGCCATGCAGTAAGAGCCACCGCACAGGTAACTAACGCTGACCTGCCAATGGGCAATACCTTTCCTTTGTACAATCAAGCAGTTCCCACATTAATGCTCTTAATACCTCAGGTTTACATTGGATAACCCAGGGGTTGTGCTGGAGGTGGGTTAGGACACAGTGAGCAGAGAGAAGACAGGGGGAAGAACACAGAGTGGAGAATCCATAAGGCAAATGCCCTGGGACAGAAAAAAACAGTATGTACGATCAGACAGTGAAAAACACGGGGATTAATGCATAAGGTTACAAACAAAGGTTTTAGGAGAAAATTCTACAATAATCAAGAAAACAAGAAGCCCTCTTACAGACAAGGGGATAAAGCACAGCAGCTGTAACGTACCCACGCTTCTTCACTCTCCTTCCACGCAACCCGGACACGTACTCCCCAACAGCACTGCCTCGCAGGGGGAGTTTACCTTCCTTAGGCCAGTGACAACACAGCTTTTCCTGGACGCGGCCCCTCAAACCTTCCCCTTAAACCCTCTCCTTATAAACCTCTAGTTGTGATACCCACAGTTTATTAAGAGATCGACAACCCCACGTCTCAACAACTAACGCGGGGGCGAACGGGTGAAGGCCTGTGAGCCACCGGCGCTCCAGCCGGTGTCTCCTGCCAGACGGCCGCCATGAAACCTACAGCGCTGCTCCTCGGGGGATCCGCCGCCTCCATCCCCCGAGCCGGGCCGTGGGGGCACACCGGCCTCCCGCCGCCCCCCCGTCCCCGCCCGGTACTCACGTCGGGCTCGTCCCTCGGGGCCCGCCGCGCCTCCGCGGCGCCCAGCAGCTCGCTCAGCTCCTCGCCCAGCACCGCCTCTGCGGGAGAGACAGCGGCCTTAGCGCCGGCCCGGCCCCGGCGAGAAGCTCCCC